ACTGCTGCCGTCTGCTCAGCAACTGCAAAGGCAGTTTTTGTCTTCTCCGAAACTTGGAATGCTCGTCAACCTCTTTCAACTTTTCATTGACCATAGCTGTTCCCATGCTTAGCTTTTCACTCAGACCCATCTTACTATCAATGGATCAACTGTGGCAGATGCATTGATGTCAAATGATGCTGTTCATCAAGGGCCTTTGCCTTGTTGACGGCATCCTTTCCAAGACAAACCTTCGCAAGCATGGTACTTACCACATCTCAGCCTTCTTAACAGAAGCATCAGTAGCAGGTGGGTTCTTTTCCTTCAAAAAAAACAAAATATGAGGAATACAAAACATAGTGACAAAAACCTAGTAGAAATAAATAGAGGTAGAAGATTCACATTTATACTAGTGCACTATGTCAAAGAAACATAGTGACAATATCATATTTGCTTTTTTATTTCACTAAAAGTTATGTGATTAGATATTAACTTGAATCTTTTTACTGAGAAAGTAATTCTAAGGCGAAGCTAATGGTATACCTCCCTCCCTAACTTTTAACATAGGAAAGCAATAATTTTCAGAAGCCTCATTTAAATATCAGAAAACATGTATAATTTCCTGTTCACTTTCAGAATTCTATTTCATTTTTATGAGGAGTACAAGGTGAATCTGATTTTCTTTCCTAAAGTAAAATCAGAGCACAGGAATCAGAGACAGCCTGATTTACTTCACTTGTGCCAAGTGTATTTTCAGACTGAATGGGTGTGCTGATGCAGAATGTGCATACATACAGATTCATGCAGCCATGAATTTACCGAGTTTGGTGGAGAGCTTCTGGAGGCAGCAGATATCCTCAACAGGGGTAATTGTAACAGGAAGACCGGAGATGGTGGATCCCTGTGATAAAACTAAGAAAGTTCCTTAAGAAAGAAAAAAAAGAAAAAAAAAGAAGAGGTAATCCAAAAGAGCAGCTTCTTAAATCAAATGTTCTAGATACATCTTAGGCTTGCACATTTAATCTTGCCTTGAGTTTTGACTTCAAGGGCTATACCTAATAGCATGTGGTCTAGATCCAAGTAATCATGATATTCGGTACCAAAGCTTTTCAGAGATTTAATGCTTTTCTTTATCTTAGTAATTTTGCAGTTATCTCATTTTCAATTATTTTTTTAATAACTCAAAAATGTACTCTGCTAATGCCTAACGCAACATTCTGCTTAGGGATGGAAAGAACTCAGAGGTTTCAAATGCAAAGATTAAAACCTTAGACCTACTGGATAAACATACCGACAAGAGTATTGCTGTATCCGTTCCCCGTGGTTCCTTGAAGGTTACATAAGCAAGCTGAGTTGTTTCACTCTCCCTGCAAAAGATACCACCATGTTTCGTCAGAATATGACTTCTGCAAGTCAATAAATTGTTCTATGGTACAAGTGTGCTGACCTTTGCATTTCAACACTACTGAATATCTCCAGAGAAAATGAAGAATTCTTTGATATCCCTCTCGGAAGCAGTTGTTGAAACATTGTTAGCCTTAATTGTTCTTATCTGTAAGAAATTAAACAGTTGATAAATGTAAAAACAATAAAAAAACAAAATTCATTCATAGAATATTAGACACATTGGAAACAGATTTCAGTATTGCCATTTGTAAAACTATATCATGAGGAAAAAACAATGCACTTTGTACCAAAACTCTAATCTTGTACTAGACAAATCATTAGAATTTGAACTGACAAAGAGGAGATTAGTACATAGTAATGTCACGATATAAGAATTCTCTTTTGTGTACCTTACAGATTGGCTTGTGACTACCAATTTAAGTTATTGTTGTTGAGATAAAATGCAAAGACTATTCAAATTGGTAGTCCTCAAGGAAATATATCGATAAAAAAGTAAAAAGCGAATATTTAGAAAACAAAGCTCTATTATTAATAGCACCAACAGATGCTATTCTATGTGTAGTAGTTCCACACATCTGAGACATTGATTGTCCAGTTTGGTATGATAGTTGCCTGAGGAACTGCTGTGAGACTTTGCTCAGTATGGTCCACTGGGACCTGTGAAATGCTCAAACAGGTCCTCAGGGTAAACAGTAAAACTGTGTCCATCATCCTCTAAGGCATGTATATCACCCACCAAAGCAGCGCACAGAAAGTGCATATACTGTATATCTAAACCTTCATTAGATGAAGTATGTTGCACCAACCATTTCAGGTACTCTTTTTTGTTTCCCACTTTGCTTCAATGCAATCCAATTGGCGAATGAGCTATTTATTTCGTATAAAGAGTTTTGAGCAGCAGTTACAGGAATTAAGAGACAGTTTCTTTCCAACTCCATGGCAATATAAAGAGTGGATCGATGAGAAAGGATTACAAGCAGGATGTCAAGCCTTTGAAAGTTCCTTTTTCAACCAACTCAACCACAAATGTATAGTTGTGAGTAACAGAATTATAATGATCAAATAACCTCATTGAAATATATCTTCTTTAAAAGTATAGCAAATTATTCTCTGAAAACATTCTCCTAACTTTTTAACCAAGTATGAATCTCAAGTCTAAGTTGTTCTCTAATCCTTAACTTGTAAGCTAGAAGGTGCTTCGTCCAATAATGGTCGAACTATAATAATCATAAAATCATCAATTTAGCATCAAAAGGGGCAAATTAACTAGTAAGTTTAGGTATTTACTCTTTCAAATAAGACCCGTCATTCTTAATGTGGAGATTTTCTTGCTCTCCTAGACATTCATTAAATTGAAGCTAAAACAATTTCTGAATACCCTTAAACACTAAAAAGAAACAAGAAACCCGAATGTCTCCCGATTCTCTTTCATCTTGCCACTCTATAATGTAAAATTCCCCTTATTTTTATTTTACATTAACAGCTCAAAACTTGCATAATTCCATTATTTTATTTTTTTGTTGTTGTTAACCACCAATGCATAAATGAAGAATTTTTTATTATTATATAATTCCTTCATTTTCTCCTCCTAGTAACCAGAAAAAACACATTGGCACCCACAAACGACAATGCACAGATGTCTAAAAATTTTGTATTACTGAATATTCTCAAGTTCTCACATTATGGGCTTCAATCAAAACCCATGAAACGGCAATGCAAATAGTTTAGATAAACTCAATGGATCTAACAAATCAGACAAATCCCACAACCAACGATAAAATCTTTTGAAAAAAACTTACCGACATGCAAGATGAAATATGCGATCCCAGGAAGAAGTGGTGAAAAAGAAAGGAGAAGTTTGAATAATTCAAAAAAAAAAAAAAAGAATGATTTAATTTTTGAGTAATGGACGGTAACTGCCTTGTCCATGTAGCGGGATCTTCGCTCGCTCTTTATTTTAACAGAAAAATAACTATTTAATAAGGTTTCTCTTAAATAACTTTTAGATTGACAAGGAAAAAAATATTAAAAAGCTTAAATTTTTTTAATAAATATATAATAATTTTAACATTTAAAGCTTTCTAAAAAATGAATTTAGTGCAATTTTCTGTCCGAGGAAATCTTTACCTATATCTAAAATAACAATTCAAGAAATGATTTTTTCATGTAACTAACAAGGTGAATTAGATATTGAAGTTTTAAGGAAGAACTAATGACAATGATAAATCACAATTGAAAAGGTAATAACGTGGTTTGTAAAATAACTACTTCTAACTTCCATTTATCAACCATTAAACTGTTTCAAATAAAAATTGAAAATCTAAATCAGTATTTTCAATAAAAATTAAATTGATATAATTGAACTATATACATACATACACAAATGTACATTAATATATACACATAGTTTTAGTTGTTCCTTATGAATTACATTTATCATTAAAAGCAACTTGTCCCTGTAATAAATTTACACAATTAGTCTAATATATATATATATCATTAAAAGCAACCTGTCCGTGTAATAAATTCACACAATTAGTCTATAATAATCTAAAGTTTGATATTTAATGTTAAAAATTAGATAAAATTAAGGAGTTTGTGATCTTTTCCTAGGTATGAGAATGAGACAATGCTTCATTATAAATTATATATTTTGATATACGATTTTCGAATATTAAACGTGAATTCATTGCAAATTTAAAAATTAATGGAGCCGATATAAATTTAATAATTAAAAATAAATTGATTTAGATTAATGTCAAGTCTTATTATTATATATGTTATTAGTTATTATATTAACAATACATGTTACATGTAATCCATTGTATAAAATTTCTTCGTAATTTTTTGAAATATCAACTGTATATATTGAATGGGTAAAAAAAAAAAAAAATTATTGGCCGCATAGATTTAAAATTTAAAAATAAATGGATTTAAAATAATGTCATGTTTAATATAATTTATTGATCATATTCTATTAAGGAAGGAAATTATTAAGTATAGAAATTTGAATTTTGGGAATATTCGTACATATACAACGAAAATATTAGATTAATTAGATTTTTAAAATGACAATAAATTGGTATAGATGGATGATAGAATGGAAAAAAAGAACATCTAGAAATGAGCATCATTATACTTAATTTTTTTTTATATAATTTTGATGTGATAGTTTATGATTAATTAGTTTGCAGTAAATTTTGTCTATTAAAATATAAATTGATTAATTACCAACTGTATAGTAAAATTATATAAAAAATTGTAAGAAAAAATTATAATTATAATTTTATTCTGGGTATTTTGACCGTTTTAATTCATTCTATCACTATAGTGACATGGATGTCCCCACTTTTCTCACGTCACCATTACTGAATAGACAAACGGTAAGATCCACCAAATTACACGATGTCCGTGCGTGTGAAACTGTTTCATATGTGGACCCCGACGCAGCCTATAAAAACCCCTCCACCACGCACTATTTGCCCCAACGTCCGCAATCGCTTCGCGGGAACTTACACTTTGCACAACGCACAACTTCTCTACTTTCATACACTTCGAATCTCTCATCAAACTTCCAATCTCGAATTCGAATTTCAAATTACATACAGAAGACGATGGAACAGAAGTCGTATATCAAGAAGAAGCTCCGGTCAAAACGACCTCGTTTACTTCGATCAAAGATCTCTCCGGTTCTTTTCAACACCGATACCAAAGGCATCTCAGTGCTCTCCGGTGATTCCAGCTCATGCACTTATTTCGGTGGCGACGAAGTTTCTTCAAGCTCGAGGAAGAGACAACTCGCTGAAGTTAACGGAGAGACGAAGAAGATTGAAAATGACGCGCCGTTGCGGAGAATCACGAGGTCTTCCAATGAGCAACAGAAGGAAAACGAGTGGAAAGGAAATGAGGTTGAGGCGAGTGAGTCGTCTTGTGTTTTCTCCAACTCCGGAGCTGTTTTTGCAGAGATCAGTTCTAAGTTCAACAAAGGACATGAAAATGCCAAAGAAATTGAACAAAACGACGTTTCACGATCCAATGATATTTTCAAATTCGGTGCCAGTAATTGGAAAATCTCGTCGGAAAGAAATGAAAACAACAGTGACGTCGTTTCAGTTGCTTCCGCTGTTGAAAATGATAACAGAGCATCACTAAGGCATGAACTCTCTGATAATTTGAAAAATGATGCTGCTGATTCGTGTTTCACGATTTCAAACTCGGATTCTGTTGTGGAGCAAAGGCCGGGCGGCTCCAAATCCGATTCGGATCTCGCGTGTACGGAGGAGCTGTCACACGACGACGTATGTGAGTACTCTTCAAGTCACGATACTGTATTTTCTGAGCTGCAATTCGATTTTTTCCCGGAGAATTCGGACCTCGATTTGTCGGATTACACTCAGTCTATTTTCAGTTTTGATTCTGAAAGCCAAACCTCTGAGCTATCTGTTGACGATACTAGCCCTCCGTCACTTACTTACTCTCTGTTCCTGGAGTTCAGTAAGCAATTCTCAAGATCGACTGTTCCTCTAGATTCCAGAAAGTGTTCTATCGTTCAAGAAAAGCGTCTATATCAGTCTGCAGTAAGTTTAATTTTATTTTCCCGTTGCATTTAGCATTTTCTTAGTAGCCAAGCAGGCGTAATTTAATGCTCTGTTACTCTCATTTTGTTAATTCGATATTTATCTACTGCTTTTCAATTCATGCAGATATTAGTTTTCTTCGTAGCCAAACATAGCTATGTGGATTAATAATTAATTAATAAATGCCTTCGCATAATTTGGGGAATTTAACGTTTCTTTCGCTTTTGAGTTAGTTATTTTCTTGTCAACCAAACAGTGTTAAAAACAATAAGAAAACGAAGAGAGTCAAGTAATATTCTGAAATGATACGTCTGATGCAAGTGTCAAACTTTTTTTTTTTTTTTTTTTTTCAACTTTTAGTTGGTGAGATTCGTAAATGAGGAGGACGAAGAGAGCTATCAGAGGATCCGTGAAAGAGAGAGGAGACAAGTGTTTTTGTATGACTACCCCGATGAATACCTTTCAACCACAGAATACGGCGATCTAATCGTCCAACAACGGTCTCAAATGGTCCACTGGATCGTCGAGGTGTGTGCTCCTTGATCCACGTGTACTTCTCCATATTAATCGCCGTAGTCATTAAATTAATTACTCGACAGTTTTACAAAACACGGTTAGCAAGTACATTACTACACACTCTCTGCAGTGACGATTTTTCGGGACTACTATCAGGTCTAGTCACTTTGTGACACGTCATTGTATACAGACGAACGTGCTTCCAGTTTTGTGAGCTAGTTCTGCGTTTCTCTTGCCGGCTAAAAGAGTTAAGAGGCGAAAAAATGGCGTGGTTGTCATCTGAGGGTGTTTTCGTTATCTTAAATTTTCACTTTTACTTGTGGCATGGAGTTTGGTGCATCACGAGGTCTTTTTAGTGTCTACCACTAACTGAATAGAATGTTGACCACTCCCATGGCATCTAAAGTTTGTTAAGCCTGTCGGCCAAGGCTGAGGAGTTTTATGATTGTTTACTAAGCAACAACAACGTCAATTGTAAAATTAACTATCAAGCGTATATCAAACAATTCAAAACAATTTTATTTATCTTAAAAAACGAGTTTACAAGTAATTGAAAAATATCAGTATCAGAAATCTGCTTCATTTCTTTATTACTAATCACATGATGATATGAATGTGTTGCTTTATGCAGCAATGCAGTGCCAAGGAGTTTCAGCAGGAAACAATGTTTCTTGGAGTTAACCTTTTAGATCGGTTTTTAAGCAGGGGTTTCTTCCAAGCCAAAAGGAACCTTCAAATTGTTGGAATAGCCTGTCTTGTACTGGCCACCAGACTTGAAGAAAATCAGCCCTACAATAGGTAATCATCATTCTCTGTTATTGCATAAAGGCTAGAGGCTGTAAGTGTATATATAGACACAAGTGTTATTAGTTTTGTGGTTACTGCCTTCTTTAAACTATCAGATGTGGATTCAGGTAGGTTTTCTTTTCGAATTTTGATTATGCCGCACGAAATGTTTCTCTGTTATATTGAATGGGTCAACAGTATTTTCAGCTTTATATATTCCCTCCCTCATGGTACTCCGGTTTTTTCGCTTTCTCTCAGTAGTTTGATTGGGTTGGAAACTTGATTTTGCATACTCAAAAAGGATTAGTAGTACCACATCGTGAAATGTCTCATATTTTATAATCTTGAATAGTTGAATATGCAATTGGTGTTAGGTAGGTGCAAAAGAACTGGATAAAAACTCAAAATTAACAATTAATTTCCTATTTTCTGCCCGAAATATCTATCCTCTATCCAGTTCAAGATTTCTCAAGCTCATTATGTGGTGAAATCATATCAAAATAATCACTCTAATTAAAATCATAGGCTATCAGTGGCTTCCAAAACTATAATGATCTCGCTTGCTGAAAGATTTGTCCTTTAGGATGTGACTTAATTAATTAATTTATTTTTTATCTTCATTTCAGTGTGCGACAAAATACTTTCAGCGTAGAGAGCAACATTTACAGCAGAAATGAAGTGGTCGCCATGGAATGGCTGGTGCAGGAGGTCCTCAACTTTCAGTGTTTCTTGCCTACCATTTACAACTTTCTGTGGTATGAGTATCTGTTCTTTCTCCCCATTATATGATAGGACAACTGAGGCCTGACTGCTGAGTTTAACATTGAAAACCTTCGGACTTGTTCTGATTCCCTTGTTTTGGTCCATACACTGCCATAAATTGAAATGTTTCATATAAATCCATATCGTTTCCCCTAAATATGAATACGAATTTGTCAAAAGGTTCTACCTGAAAGCTGCCGGAGCTGATGCAGCGCTGGAGAAGATGGCCAAGTACCTGGCAGTTCTAGCTCTATCAGACCATGAGCAGCTGTCCTATTGGCCATCAACAGTTGCAGCTGGACTTGTTATCCTGGCTTCTCTAGAAAGCAGGGGAGAGTCATCCTACCAAAAAGTCATCGAGGTATAAATACTTACAGAACGAACATCAGTCAATTCAAATGAATTTCGTGTCCCTAACCTGCCTTATAAAGTGTGAGTTTTTGGATATCACAATTGAAATCTGACCATTTTGTCGACAAATGATCAAAATGGCGAGCCTGATATTCCACCATTGTTTGGACTTGATCTTTATTGTAATTGACAGATCAAATTTGGCCTAGATAGACTTACAGGGTCATCCGGAGTTAAATAAGGTCTTGAGTTCTGACTAGTCAATTCAATTTTGCAGATTCATGTCAGAACAAAAGATAGTGATTTACCTGATTGCATAAAGGTATCAAATTCATGTCATTTGCATAATACAATTCTGAATAGTATTTCAAGTTAAGCAGTCACTTACATTGTGTTAATTCTAACAGAGCTTGGAGTGGTTGTTACAGTATGTAAGCTAGCTTACACGCAGGAAAGTGACATGAACATCAAGTTCTCTGTTTGCTGACATTGTTCTTTTCACTCATCACAAAGACAATATGAATTAAAGGTAAAGTAAATAAAAGAAATCTTTCCAAAACACACTTCCGTCATATAGGTAACACAACCTCAATTCTTTCACAATTCAAAGAGTAATTGCTGCTTCTTTTGTGCCCATAAAAGTAAAAGAAAGCATTTGTACAAGTTTATGTGCTTGAATACAATTCTAATTCTTTGGCAATGCCCAACATTTGGGTGTCAGCGTTAGATGAAAAGTTATGCAGAGAAAGACAATGATCTTGCTTTTCTCTCCAATGTTGTTATTTTTAGGTCGGTAATTGATGCTTTGAATTTGTATGTTCGTGTAAGAATATTGCAGAATTTTGTGAAATTTTAATTCCCAAGTTGATTAAAATGGTCCTACGATTGGAAAATTAACCAAACGGCTAATCTAAATTATTATATTTCAAATTCATGCCTTGCCGAGAGAAATTTACTAATAGAGGCGACACTAGAGGTACATAGTCGTAAAGAAAGTAGACTTTTCAAAAAAGAAAAACCATTAGACACCGATGGTTCTAACCATAATAACGCTATCTTCATTGGGTCATGCATTATTTCAGAGTGGTGGACTCCAACCACACCACACGGCATTTCAATGGAAGCTACTCCATGGACTGGTGGAGTAGTCGACACGGCTTTACAGAGGGAAAAAAAAAAAAAAAAAAAAAAACAGAACACGAAAGCGACTCCATGAAGGAGTAGTCCACGATTTTCATTTTCTTCGGGTTAAATCTTTTTTCATGCGTTTATTTTTACTTTTTAGACATAAAATCTGACTGAAATTCAGAGCAATGAAAAAAAAAAATTTGCATAGTGTTGATGCAAAAATACACCAACTAAAGCGATTCAATCGACCTTGACGGGATCGAAATTGATGTGTGCGTGATTACAGGTAACCAGCAATGAATAAACAATAAATGCAGTAAAGAAAATGACAAAAATTTTTTAAAGTGGTTCGACGAGTTAAACTCTTGAGCCTATGTCCACTGTCTTTGTATAAACTGTGAGAGCTTACGATAACAATCCTAGAATAATTTGTTAACCCCTTTCTCATTGTTGGAGGGGGTTTATATACAAATTCTGTACAGAGGCGACGTGCAACAATGGTTATGATTGTGGTAGTCTGACGGTTGATCGCCCCTCGTGGATGATTGACACGTGGCCACGTCCAAGGGTTGAGATCGCTCGACAAATGCAGGGCCGAGATTCACTATAGATCAACGGCTATGATTAAACCCCACCCTTTTGTCTCCCATGCAAACCACTATAAAAGTGGGCGAACTTGTTAGAAAGCCTTCACACTTTGCAAAAGTTCTCAGGCTTTCTTGCTTACTCCGTCGCTGCTCCTTCATCTTCACGGTGCTTTTCCTATGAGTTCATCTCATCTTTCAGTTTGGTAAGGCTTCCTTTTCCTTCTTTTATTTGTTTTTATGATTTTCGCGATTGAGGGTGGCCATTGTCGTGGCCACATTGGGATTTTTAGGGCTTTGCTAGGGTTTTTAAGTGTGTCTCCAATGGTCTTGGTTTTAAGGAGAGTTTATGATGGCGGTCGCGAGAATCTTGGTGGGTCACGCATGTCTGTTGTCTGACGTGAGCTACTTTGGGTGCATGAACTAAAAGCAAAGTGTGGATAGGTGGCCTAGTTTTTCAAGCTCTAACACATGTTTGATTATATTTCAAGTATCTAGAGGCGAGCCATCGTCATGTCTTCGTCAAAGAGCCATACCATTGATCGCATGTTCGATTCTCCGGCGGGCTCAGTAGTTCTTGGGAGCGTAGTCCCTGAGGCTTCTGAGGATATTGTCGCACGGAGTTCAGACCCTGATGTGGTGGGCTCTTCCGACCATGCTTTTGTGGAAGTCGGTCGGTCAAGGAGATCCCCAATCCATAGGTCGTGGAAGGAACCACAATCCTCGATTGATGCTGAGGATCTCAGGCACATAAATGAGACTTGTGCGCCTCAACTCAACTTGAGGGTTCCAGAAGGCTTCTCTTGAAAGAATACCCCATAGGTTGTGTTGTGATCTCTAAGTCCCTTTTGAGGTGTGAGATGTCCGTGGCTTTTCGCGGCAAGCTTTTGGCCAAGGTGGTTAGCGATCTTTAGGCATGGCAATGTTCCCCGGGATTTCGGGGACCCGTCCCACCCAGCCCCATATGGGGCGGGGAAGCCCCGGTTTTTCGAGGATAGGGGCGGGGGTGGGGGGTGTTTTAATCCCCATCCTCGGGGATGGGGCAAGGGTGGGTGATGCCTTTCCCCCACCCTGTCCCGTATATAATATATAAAATTAAAAAAATGTATATATATATTTACTTTTCACTAATATCCCTATATTTCACCTAATTACACAATTATCCTACCTATATAAACCCATAGTTCCAATTTTCTCTCACCCTAAACAATTGAACAAGAACAACCTTGACCCTATTTATGTATAATTAATTATGTTTAAACGATTAATTAAGTGTTTGTCATGTGGACGAGAATTAACTATTGTGTTTGGTAATACTCAAATTAATTTATGTTTATATAAAATTAACGGGGCGAGGATGGACCTCCAACATTCCCCTTTGGGGCAGGGAAGGGGAATTCCTGTCATCCCCGTAACGGGGATGGGGCGGGGGTGGGGAATGATTTTGAGGATGGGGATGGGTGTGAATGAGATCCCCGCCTCGCCCCGCCCCATTGCATGCTTGCGATCTTCTACTCGCTGATGCTTGCAGCCATCTAGAAAACTTTGTCCGGCTCACATGATCTTCACTTGGAGGCCTGATGTCTAATTAGCAAAGTCCAGATTGACTCTTCAGGTGCATCCATGACCTTTACCTACTTGTCTAGAACCTCATTAAATATGAGGTCAGTGTTTCGTCTCTCTCCTGACGAATGTTGCTCAAGTAGTTGAGCGGCATGAATTGTCTCCTTATTGGAGTTGCTGTAAGTACAGTGAGGAGAATTGTTGCCAAGAACTGATAGAGTTCGTTTTAGTCTTTTGTATCACCTCTTGGCATCTCCCTACCAACGTGACCGCAAAACAGCGGCACTTTGCCAAGTCAAACACCTGGTGTAGCCTATCAGGTCGTTGAAAGAGTTGAGGTGGTCTTTGAGATCTCATTTCCCATCGAACATACCTTTTGGCCCTTAAATCCTAGGGAAACAGGGCATGGCGAACCTCCTCTTGAAGGGAGAGCTCATTATCTCTTTCGCTAAATTGTGTTGGTGGGCTCTTAGATCATTGAGCATTTCTACATCGATCTAAGTTTCATTATGAGGATTGTCCTGGCTGGCTTTGTTCAACCTTACCTCGAGTAGGTGTGCTCGCAAATCTATTACTTGTGTGCCCCTCCCTTGTGCCCGTTGATTCGTGAGGTTTAGTCATGATGACTGGGTTGGTAGGTGTTATTATGTCATCTGTGCATTGCTTGCGATGTTGGTTATAACCCGAACGTCGGTCATGCCAGATTGGGCACATGACTCCTCTCGTGAGCTTGTGAGGTTGAGCCTATCTTGAGCGTGGGTTAAAAACGGCACGCTGAAGCTGAGGATATCGTCGAGTAGGTTAAGTATCCTCTGGCTACCATTATCTTGCTTCTCTTATGGCTATTTGCCGATCGCGTCCCAGGGTTAGTTTTCCTGTGGGATTCTTTTCTTATGCAGAGGTGTTCTTGGCGGTGTGAGGTCATCGGGTGCCTCGGTGTCGATGAACCAAATTGGTGGCGACTAAGTGCCACCTGTCGGGGTGAGTTTGTGAAGCGCGATCGATCAAGATCTTGGGGGGCGGTTGCTAATTCTCAAACTCGACCACATTTTGTTGCATAGCTTGTGCGACCATCGTTCTAATCATCTCCACCAATTGGCCATTCTCAGATTTGACGTCTTTGCCCCCAATTGGTTTGTGGGCTGCTACACGGTGACACTGTGGGAACGCTTGGCGACAACTTGAGTATCTCTTGTGGGTGGTTTCCACATTGTCGTGGTTCCCGATAGTGGTCTTTGATTGGGTTCGAACATCAGGGCCTGAGTGATCGGGTCACTGGAGTTGTTGCTGGAATTTCTAAGATTTTGTCAGAGGCCTTCCTTCTAGCACCAAATGTTGATGCCAAGATACACCAACTAGAGCTATCCGATCGACCTTACGGGATCGAAACTGATGTGTATGTGATTACGAGTAACCAGCAATGAATAAACAATAAATGCAGTAGAAAATGACAAAGAGGTTTTTAAAGTGATTGGTGAGTTAAACTCTTGAGGCTACGTTTAGTGTCTGTATTTGCTATGAGAGCTTACGATAACAATCCTAGAATAATTTACTAACCCTTTCTCATCGTTGGAGGGGGTTTATATACAATTTCTGTACAAAGAAAAGAGTGAAAATAAAGAGATTACAGTTAAGATTGAAATGCAACTCGATATTTCGCGATTGAGCGCTGAGATTGTACCAGATTGCTGGTGATCTGATATATTCGAGATATCGGGATCTAAAGTTATCTGTAAGTTGGGTGAAAAACTATAAAGATTGATCATGACTAGTTATGTTGATCGGACAATTGGGTAAGTCAAGCAAATTCTAAATTTAGCTATAACCTCACCATCCTCCGAGGTGGAAGGAAAAATCACTCACATCACATAGTTTTTCAACAAATATAAAAATCTATTATTGGGAGTTAGTGCATCATGAAGGGAGGGATTCAAAATGATAAACCAAATAAATTTTATTATGTTTATCAATTAACGTCAATCAGAAATAGATAGAATAAAACAAGAGGTTGTCTCTTTTATCTATTTTGATCATGAAATGTTATCAAAATAGTTACGGAGAAAACAGACTCTCTTTGTGACATCCAATTCCTTCTATCAAACACAAAACCCATGGCATTGTTCGACAGATTGGCGTCTCGTGATTTGCTCAACTTTGATCGCAAG